GTAGTATCTGGCAAATTGTCATATTGCTTGGAGTTGAAATCATGTGAAGCGCGGCTGAGCCTTGATGTCATTTTCATGTTTTCAGTTAGTCGGCGATTCCCACAGACAAGTGCGAATCATTGCTTTGCGAATACTGCTTTATTTCGCCAACAAGATACCGAACTTGTATGAGTTTCAAGCATTCTAGATGTGATTTCTCTTCTTACTTCTAGTCGCTTTTTCAGTTTGATCGCCAGTGCTTTTTCGAACGCAATGGACACTAAGTTACAGCTTTGCGATGATGCCTTCTCCGTCGTCTGTGATGCTGTCAATGACCAGGAGGTTCATATGAGCCATGTTGTGTCATAGCTCATCAAGCATTCAGGTTATGGTTAGAACAGAAGCAGCTACAATACTGGGGCAATTCTCCACTGTTTCTGACGCCTTTCTTGATCAAACCCTTGACAAGAAGATGATGAAGACCGTACAGGTAAATGCTTGTATGCGTGTCTGCACACAGACAATTATTTGGTGTAGGATGCAAATTATTTGGTGTAGGATGCAAGTGGAAGAGAGCAGGTGAAGAAAGTGCATCAGTCGAGATTTGCCATCACGCAAACACCACAGCAACGGGAATCACGCTGGAAGTCTCACTATCATGATCAATCACGCCATAAACAGTAATTTGTTTCCTTGATTTTGATACTTTTTGATCGATCTTTTGCAGATATGCTTCGGATTGGTCATCTGGGAAAGAACTGAATGCGCATTGCCCCGCGAGTGGGGCTACCACGTCCTCTAATGATGAGTCTGGAAGCATAGTTCCTCGAGGAGCGTGCGGTGCCTTTGTCACGGCACTGGAAGACGAGTTCATGTGTGAGATAATATTCATTATTTGCATCAGCTAGCACAGTTTTAATTGTAGCTGTCCGACGAGCTGCAGTTCACTCACTTGGTCAATTGGCAGCGAATAGGCCAGCATTTGCTACTACCGCTCTGGATCATCTATCTGATATGTTCAACGATGAGATTGTTGAGGTATGTCTGTAGGTCGCTCGTACAACTATTTGTTCAACCGCAGTTTAGGTTCGCCTTGACGCTATCGCTGCTTTAACACCACTCATTGTGCATGGAGAACTGCAGAAGGAACAGTTGGAGACTGTATTGAAGTGCTTAGACGTAAATTACGGTCCATTTAATTCATGATTGAGAAATTGAGCTAATCTAATCACTGTTCAAATAATGAATTAGTACGATGGCTGGAAAGTATAATACTTCACCAAAGATTAGTCTTTGCTGGATGTTTGAATGATTTTACAAGCTGTGAAGCATGTCTCAGCTACAGTTCGTTTGAAGTATTTATGGATCATGCGATCCCCGATCGCCCGCCGTTTCGCCGTTCGATGCAAGCGGTAGAGCAATGGGCGCTCGTTTGTAATGGTAGCGCCACATCGAAGACTGTGAGATCCGCACATGGACTATGCATAAAATACAGGATGTGCAAAAAAAA